GCGGTTCACACATCTCAATTCCTTCATCCTCTGAAAACCGTCATTTTGCAATAGGAGTCAAGGAGCCACCTTCAAGAGCGAGAAGGAAATAACCACAGCACAGGGGAGATGCTGTTGAGGAAACAATGAGGCCCCTGGTGTTGGTGGTACCAGCTAGGAAATATCAGCCCAAATTATATGATCCTCCCGGAGGCTGTATCCTCACCTGTGAAATGGGTACCTTAAAAATACCTGGCTTCCCACTTCACAGAGCAGCTGCTGGAGACAGTAACTCAGGGAGGAAATGAACAGCATAAATGCTAGTCACAGACACTGGCATCTAAGCATGCAGTGCTTTCTGCAGATCAAGGCAGGGGAGGGGTGGATGGATTTTTGGGAACATAAAATAATGATGGGAAAATTAAAAAAAATTTTTTTTTTTAAATTTCAAGAGGAATAACTGAGACCCAGAGAGAGAAAACAGACAGAATTCTAGGGTAACTTAAGGGCAGACAGAGGCAGGTCTCTTAGCATCCACCCCCGTCTCCCACCTTGGCCTTTGGATGAGGATGACACGTGGCTGGATAAGTCAGAAGCCTCAGGATTTGCATTATGAGGCCTGGTTAATTCCACTGCCTCCTTTTCACAAATGACACTCATCAGCACTCCCTTTCTGGAACTTTCTAACGTCTGGGAGAAATCGCTCTGGGCAGTTCTCTTGGCCAGGAAGCTGCGTGTGTCATGTACCAGCCATCGGCAGCCCCTCCTGCAGGCCTGCTGTGGGTGACAGTGTGATGCAAAGAAGAGGTCCTGGGCTTTGTTCCACCGCTGCCTGCTGGGCAACCCCGGGGAAGGCCACTCTCCCCCATTCTCTTCATCTATAAAATGGGGACAGCAATCTGTCCCACCCACCCCCCAAGGGATTGAGGACATACGTGAAGTCCTGAGCTTACGGAAGTGGGGGGCACGGAACCCACCTCGCTCACCTCTTTGACCCTGTGCAGCAGGGGCTGGAGCCAGTCCCTGTTCACCTCACAGTGGCTGTCGAGAAAAGTCAGGGTGGTGCCCTGGGCAACATCGGCACCCCGGATCCGGGACCGCACCAGACCTGCAGGAGGGACAATCGGCCAAGTGAGTGCCAGAGTCGCTCCATTGTCTGGGACCACACAGAACACACGCCCAAACGCACCCCACCCCGGCCCCTCCCAGCTGCACAGACCCACCTTGCCGCTCGTTATTGCGTAAGCATTTCACCTTGGGTAGCTTGATGAGCTGTCTGCAGTCCTCGGCTGCAAAGACAAGAGGTCATGTGGATTGGGCGCCTGGGGGTGGAGGTGAGTGGCAGCCCTGCCTGCCTTCCCCGCCCCCAACCGCGGTGCCCTGTCTTGATGCCAGGGTGTCTGTGGGCTTTGGAAGGGGCTGACTGACCACGGCTAGCAAAATACAACGTGGCCCATTCTGTGCAAAGTGGCCGCAAGGGGGCCACTTTGGAGCAGGTCAGTCACACAGTGGCACCTGCGTACTTGCTGGAACACTGCCAGATGGGAAATCTTGGCATGGTCACCTGGGGACATTTCTGCTTTTTTATAGACCATTCAAAGCATGATCAGAGTCCTATTCACTTACGTGGGGCCTGATAAAAAGCCACTGGGAGGCCAGAGAATGGATGAGACAAATTTTGGAGTTTCCTTTCAGTTCATGGACTCAATACAGGAGACCCTATTTGTTAGGGGATCCATCTGGTGTATCCCGTCACCCAGAGCTGGTTCAGCTCTCCACCATGCAGGGAAATGTGCTGGGATAGGCAAGAGACCCATCCTAGGCATTCACCCTGGGTCACCCTGGCATGCCTGCCTGCCCCAGCACTCCTTGGCTCTGAACTCTACATCGTAAGTTTTGATTTTGCTTCACTGGTTAGCCAACCTCAGCCCCTCTGCTTGGGTCTGGACTCTACAGAGTGACCACAAAGACTTAGAGGAGCTACCTCGGAGCCAGGCGCTGTTCTAAGCACTTCAAATATGTTAACACGTTCATCCTTATATAAGCCATATATATCATCGCTATCCCCATTTTATAGGCAAGGAAACTGATGCGCATAGAGGTCAATAATTTGCCCAAGGCGCACAGCTAGTAAGTGAGTCAGTGACAGGTCTCGGATTTGAAGCCAGGCAGTTGGCTCCAGAGGCCATGCTCTAACCACTAAGCTATTCTGCTGCTAAGTGAATCCAGCAGCATTCCCGTCTCCAGCCTCAGTGCCAGCTACCTCCCAGCACGACGAGTGTCTCCCCAGCTCCAACCCCTTTCTCGCTAGGGAAGGGAGATCAGATCACTGAGTTTCAGAGCTCAAGTCCGATCTGATTACCCTGGATCTGGTGCACAACCCACTTGTGCATGACTTCCAAGGTTCCGAGGCTGTGTCAGAGGTGTGGGTTTCCAGCCTCCTACAGCAGACCCCAGTGTGGTAGTGGCTCCGACGCCCAGCTTCAGGCATCAGGGCTGGTGGGGAGAGACTCCACTCTCCTGGGACTCGGAGCTGTCCCCAGTGGCCATCACCTGCTTCCCCTGGTTTGTCACTGGGAAGAAGCCGTTCTGCCTACATGTGGCTGACTGCCTGCAGCAGTACTGGGGGCGCTGGGATGACAGCTCTCGGAAGAGGAGCCACAGCACTATCCGTGCTTGAAGTGTAACAGTGCTTCTGCGATGATCGTACCTGATCGTCAAACTGAACACACAGGTGTCTGAAACCTCCCTCGTGCTTTTCTCGGGGAAAGTGGACTTGGACTGTGAATTTGGGTGGGACCCAGGTCCTTGGACAGGATGACTAGGGGATGGTAATGACCAGTGGTTGGAAGGTTGGAAGGCAGCTGCTCACTGTGTCATGGCCAAGTGATGGGATGTCCCCAAAACTGAACCCCCCTCCCCATGAGTCCTGCCGTGGGAATGAAAGGAAGAGGGTAGGTGGCCTCAGCTCAGGCTGGTGGATTATCAGAGTATATGAGTGAGGAATCTCTAGTCATGGGCCTTGCTTCAGGGCTTGGGGTCTCTTTGAAGGTATGGGGTCTCTTCAAGTCCAGGAATGTAGGTTGGGGGCAGTAACACACATGCATACACACACCAACTCCATCAAGAATCTACTCAATTGATCTGGTTAGATCCTCAAAGACTCATGGCAGAGAACCCAAGACATTGTTTCTCAAATGTAAGGTTTATGTACTCCTTGAGCCCCGCTTGGACACTAAATGTCTTCCAACCTACTATAAACCCAGGCTTCTTCCACCCCCAGGGAAGCAGTGGGCTCACCTCTGCTGGTTACACAGGGGCTGGGAACAGACATTTGTGTCCACAGCACAGGAGAGCGATGGTACTTACGGTCATTGCTGAAGTCATCGACTAATATGATTTCCTGGAGGAGATTCATAGGGGTGCGGTTTAATATGCTGTGAGATTGAAAACGGAAAGATCATTATGACTTCTAGCGGCAAAGGCGTGTATCAACCTGAGCTTTATTTTTTGTTTTTTATTTTTATTTTTTTGCGGTACGCGGGCCTCTCACTGTTGTGGCCTCTCCCGTTGCGGAGCACAGGCTCCGGACATGCGGGCCCAGCGGCCATGGCTCACGGGCCTAGCTGCTCCGCAGCATGTGGGATCTTCCCAGACCGGGGCACAAACCCGCGTCCCCTGCATCGGCAGGCGGACTCTCAACCACAGCGCCGCCAGGGAAGCCCTCAACCTGAGCTTTAAATAGACACCAGTGCATTTGAAGAATAAAACTCAGAACAACCGAAAAAACTTTGTCCAGTCACACTGCTCACTGTGAGCCACTGGGACACAACTCTGCTGTGTCTTAGTGAATGTCACCACCACCCACCTAGCACCCAGAGATCCAGTGCCACCCTCAACGACCCTCCCTCTCCCAGAAATGCTGCATCACATCAGTGACCAAGATGTGCTGGTTTTCCTTGAAAAATATCACTCAAATCACCTTCACCTCTTATACCTCCAACCTGATCCAACCTCTTTTGCCTGTTTTTTTTTTTCAGTAGCCTGACCTGTCAGGCCATCCTCCCGTGACCTCCAGAGTGAGCTTTCTGAAGCATAGATGTGAACTCCGATCGTGTGACTTTCCTCACTAATGCAAGTACATAGGTTGACAAAAGGCTCCCCACAATCTACACCCCAAACCCTCAGCACACTCTTCAAGGCTTTTCCCGACCTGGAGCCAGCCCTCTTTCCAGCCTCCTCATGCCCAGTGCCTTTATCTGGAGACATCCTGCTTGTTACAACCAAGGGCCATTCTCCTACCACTGCCACAGCGTGAAATGCCCCTCCTGTGCCACAAGGATCCCTTCAAATGTCACTTCCTCTCCAGCGCCTTTCCAAGCCACTTAGTGAGAATGAACTGCCTCCTCCTCTGGGGTCCCTCAGCTGTTTGTATCTGAAGCTTCCTGCGGCTCTCACGCCAGCCTGACTCCAAGGGCTGGTTTTGTTGGCCCATCAAAATGGCCACCTCCCCGGCGGCAGGGGCCTTGTCAAGCTACTGTCTGTACTGCCAGAGTCCAGCTGTGCCTTGGCCCATGACCATTCACTCCATTTAGTGCACACCTACTATGTGCTGGGCGCTGGGTATATGATGAGGATCAAAGGAGATGTGAGCTCTGTGAGAGGCTTGTGGTCTAGGAGCTACTTACTACAGGCTGTGTAACCTTGGGCAGGTTACTTTACCGCTCTGGGCAGTAAAGTATTCCCATCTGTATAACAGGGATAATAATAGCACCTACCCTTCACAGGGCTGTTGGGAGAATTAAGGGAGAATGCTTCTAAAACATTTAGCCAGTGTCTGCTGATAACAGTGATAAAAAGTGTAGCAATTATTACTGTTCTGTGCATCAGTGGTGATTTTTGAATTGACTGCATCTCCTCTCCTGTGCTGTGGATCTGTACCCACAGGGCAAGGTTAGGTTTCTGTGTTCATTCTGGGTTTCAGGCCTGAGATGGCCGGATCCTGCTTCTCCTGAACATGCCAAACTGCATGGTTCCTCAGAAACATTCCTGGGCCACACCACCCACCGTGGGGCACCCAGCGCCCTGCGTGTATTGAGGACGGGGTTCAGATGGGTGCTGGCGGAGGCGTGTGTGCACCTGAGCCCTGTTTCTGGTGAGCTGTCCTTTCTAAGCAGGATGCAGAGGCTTTCCAGGAGAACTTCGCCTGGAGCTACCTTTATTCATGAAACCGTAGTTCTCACCATGGCAACTAGTGTGAGGGGGAGAGGGGAACCCCGACCCCAAGCCCTGAGCCCGCTGTTGGGAGGTGGGGACGGGGGGGGGGGGGGGGGGGGGGGGGGGGGCAGGAGGTGGTGGGAGGGAACCCTCGCCACAATCATCCGAAAGGAAACACACCAAACCCAACAACCAGCCCTCTAATCAGAGTGGGATGGGGAGAGCGAGGCTGAGAGAGAGGGAAAAGTTGCTGGAAGAATACCCTCTAATGAGGTTTGATTACGGCTGTAGCTTCTGCACGCGATCTCCCCAAATCCCTGCCAGCTCTTTGAAATTCAAGAGTTGTCTTCTGTGAACATCAAAAGGTAAATCGCGTGCAGCTCTGTGCTGGGTGAACTGAGAGATGATTAGCGAATAAAAAATGTCCAGGGTTTGAAAAAGAAAAAAAAAAAAAGAATGAAATCGTCAGCGGTAAGTGCTGGTTACACCATTTCCTGGTGACACCTGGCTGGTTTTTGCTCCTCTAAACAGAGCAACTGGAGTGATGGTGGGGGCACCGAAAGAGTGACTCGGGGCTGGGAGGGCCTGAGACGGGCAGGTGCTCTGGGTGCCGGGGTGGCTAGAGAAGAACACAGGTCAAGTCCAGCCCAGGGGACCTGGCTCGGCCCAGATGGTCCCCCTGGGTCCTCTCTTCTGCACACCCCACCTTCATCCCCTGGACCCTGGTGGCTTCCATCCCCCTCCTTTGGTCTCACCAGTTCCCTGCCAGGACAGCTCACCAGTCCCTCCACAGCCAAGCCGACCCTCCCTTTCCTCCAGGGCCTGGCTTTTTCCTTGCTTCACCCCCACTGCACTGTTCTGCGCCCTTTCCTTTCACAGCCTCGCAAGGGAGTGAGTGCTCGCCTCATGGGCGCATCGGGGGTCACACTCTTCCTGGGAATTATCCTAGAACTGAGTCTCCTATCCACAGCTTGCTCTCTGCTAGTGGGCGGCTGCCGGCGGCGTCTACACCTTCTGCCCGCCACGCCCTAACCATGGGGCCCCCCGGAGCCCCCTGAGAGATGGCAGGTACAGCAGCGTGGGAGGCCAGGCAGCCTCTACCATCCCCTACTATGCGATCCTGAGCGAGATACCGGGAAGGTCCCAGCCTTCATTTCCATCTGTAATTACATCTTCCTTGCAAAGGCAGGTGATGTTAATACTTGACCTACCTCACAGGCTATTGTGTGTATGAAATGAGAAAATGTATTTGAAATTGCTTTGTGAACTGCACGGGGCCATCAGCAGGCAGCGTTTATCAGACGTTCCATAACTACCAGTTGAATGAAGACCTGGGGTCGGTTGACAGTTGAGTTTAGTCGTTCTGGAGTCAGACCGACTTGGGTTCGAGTGCTGTGTCTGTGGATCTGCCATTCACTAACTGGAGTGCTTCAGGAAGTATTGAACTGTCAGCACACTGCCTCGGCCACAGAAAAGGAGCTTAGCACCCTGCCTGGTGCCCAGCAGCTGCCCCCAGAATCTGAGGATTGACAATGATGGCGATACCGGTTCTCAACCTGTGATCCCAGAACCAGCAGCATCAGTATCACCTGGGGACCTGTTAGAAATGCAAAGCCTTGGGCCCCACTCTAGACCTACTGAGTTGGAATATGTGGGGATGGGGCCCAAGAAACCATGTTTTAACGAGCCCTCCAGGGGATTCTGATGTCTGCTCAAGCTTGAGAGCCACAGCATCAGAACCCTGCTGCCTACCCAGGCTGGGGGTGCTTCATGGCACCTGCTGTCACCTACCCAGGCTCACTCTGTGCCAGGCACTGTTCCAAGGCCTTCACCTACCTGAAGTCATTCACTCCTCTCCACAATCATGTGAGGCAGTTATTACCAGTATTCCTTGTTGGGCAGGAAAGGAAACTGAGGCAGAGAGGTGAAGGAGGTGCCCAAGGTCACACAGCTGGTAAGGGCAGAGTGGGCAAATCTGGCCCCAGGGTCCAATTTCTTAAACACCTGAATCTGAGAGACTGCTCCTCTAAATCTAGGTTATTACCAAAAGCCACAGCAAGGAGATTCAGGATATAAACTGGCCAGTCAGCATGCTCCAGAGTCCCCCTGGGAGGCAGGGGGCCGGAGGATGCTCCAAAAGAAGGGCGCGGCCCTGGGTCTCACATATGCACAGGGTCTCGTGGCAACACCAGTCAAGATAAACCATTCTTCAGGGCTTTTCTCAGTCCTTAAATGAGAAAAGTCCCCTAACTCATCAAGGCTGTGACTCTCTCTCCCTCCCCGCATCACCCACTACATCGTGCCTCGGCCTGGCTCTGAGTGCCCCCATGTGTGCCTTCCCCCACCCCTCATCCCCGGCTAATGCAGGAGCTTGGGCAGGGATGGGCAGAGGGACCAAGGCCTGGCCAGGCGCTGCATGGGAGGGACGAGAGGGCAACTCGGTCCTTCCCAGTTCCTCGAGCATCCTTCCCTTGCCAGAGCCTGGCAGCAAAGCCATGAGAATTCCAGAAAGTTAAAGATGAAAAGACACCTTAGAAAAGATCCTTTCATCAACAAAAGTGAGATAGGAAGTGCTCTTCATTCAATTCTGTCTCAGTGGCTAGCGATTTATTTGTGCAACAGGATAGGGAGTAAAAGGGAGGTACGGATTCCCAAGGCAAATGACACCTGGCCACAGAATTTCCTAGAAGTAATCTTCTTGCCTCCACCCCTAAAATTCACTTCCGCCCTGCCTGCTAATGATGTTAATGCCCGTCTGGTCATACCTGGCTCTCGGGCCCTAATTCTGATGTTTTCATGCCTCACACTTGGGTCTGAGCCAGGGGCCTGGCTCACACTGAAGTTCCTGAGAGGCAGGAAAGAGGTCCTGAGCTCTCTATGCAAAGCACCCAGCAGAACTTGGGGTACAGTCTGGCACTTCATGGCGCCTTCTGAAGAGCATGGTGTTGATGGGCCCTAAGTCCCCTTCGGAGTGCAGGGCACCAGGGCCTCGGGGGAAGCCCTCCGTCAGGCTGGCAGACAGAGGCGCTGGGGCTGCACCCCTACTGCTCCCCACTTCCACCCAGGAAGTCAGAACCCCGAATCCTGGCTCCTGTGCTTCCCAGCTCTGTGGACTTGGCCTCCGTTCACTACGTGCACCTGGACTTCACAAGGTTCGATGGGGCTCCAACTGCAGTCAGAGATAAAATGTGTTCTGTGGGGCTTCCCTGGTGGCGCAGTGGTTGGGAGTCCGCCTGCCGATGCAGGGGACACGGGTTCGTGCCCTGGTCCTGGAAGATCCCACATGCCGTGGAGCGGCTGGGCCCGTGAGCCATGGCCGCTGAGCCTGTGCGTCCGGAGCCTGTGCTCCGCAACGGGAGAGGCCACAACAGTGAGAGGCCCGCGTACCGCAAAAAAGTAAAAATAAAAAATAAAAGCTCAGCATACATTTAACATGTTAATATTATTATCATAAAGTACCATTATTACTATTATAAAGAGACGGAGAAGCAGCAGGAAGAGAACGAGAAATATGTCTTAGAGCTGAGAGGGGTGAGTCTGAGGGCAGCAGCTGAAGTGCCCCTGAGAACATAAACATAGTGTAAGGAAAGCATGGGGGACCTGGGGTCACCACATTATAATGGCCCCCAAATGTCCCAGGGTAATGTCTTCTTGTAGGAAATGTGATAGAACTTGAAACATGAAAGACCTTTCTATCACCATCTTTACAGATGTGGCTAATGACCTATCCAGGGTCACAAGGCAAGGAAGTGGTAGGGTGGGGACTTGACCCAGGTATTCAGACTCCAAGTGTGGTGCCTTTTTACGTACCCCAGAACCTCTTCTCTTTTGAGAGCTCAGTAGCTGTGCAGATACAGGGATGGCTGCTCTGTGCCAGCACAGTCTCAGTCCTTTACCTGAATTAACCAAAGCAGCTCTATGCCATAGGACTAATTATTATGCCACAGGGAGGTTAGGTAAGACATGAATAAGATACAGGCCTTACCTGTCAGGAGTTCATTGAGGATTACATCTGGGAAAAATGCATTAAGTGCTAGAGTAGAGAAGTGCAGAGAAGCAGCCCAGAAGAAGGCCCTGATGGTTGTGTGTGTGTGTGTGTGTGTGTGTGTGTGTGTGTGTGTGTGTGTGTGTGTGTGTGTGCGCGCGCGCGCGTTGAGGGGGATGGAGGTGCGTGGCATCAGAAGACTCCTCCAAGGAGGAGAAGAGGTCAGCCTGGAAGGCAAGGAGTCTCTCTTGGATGCTCTTGGCAGACCCGAGTTCTAACCCCAGACTGATGCTGGGGGTGGAGGATGTACTCAGCCTCTCGGTGCCCCAGCTTCCTTATCAGCTGTGAAAATGACAACTCATGTTCTAGAGGCAGTCTACGCAGTGGTTAAGGGCAAGTACTCTGGGACCAAGTCCTCTATGACTTCCCGTGACCTTCTATAAGTAACCCGATGCCTCAGGCCTCTATCTTTCCTCCTGTATAATGGGATAATAGCTGCCCTCATAGGAGCGTGAGGAGTGACTACTAGCGGATGCATGTGGAGCGTGCTGAACAGTGCCTGGCAGGTACTTAGAAACACTTGAACTGGTCCCCCTCCCCACGCGGGCAGACATGCCCTCGCCAAGTGCCAGCCTGGAGGGCTGACAGACGGGAAAGCTCTTACCTGCGGATGGTTCTGAGCAGGGTGGAGCGGGCCTCGTTGTGGAAGGTGATGATGATGCTGGTGGGAGGGAGGTCCGTGCAGTACCCTAGCAGGGTGCATCTGAGGAAGGCAAGGCAGCGGGACAAGAAGACCTTTAGAGACAAAGCAGATCTCAAGGGCTGGAACCAAGGGCATCACTGGTGTGGACAGATGCCTGGTGTCTGGTGGGGCCCCCTCCAGCTGCACAGCACCGTGTAAGACCCCAGGGCCTCACCTGGCCCGACGGGGGAGCCCAGGAAGCTCCGAGAATGGTTAGAGCTGAATCTCCCACCACCTCGGGGGAACTTAGGCTTGGAGTCGAATTAAGCTGACGTACAGAACATAAATGCGGGATTTCCTGCGTGCCTGGGTTACAGCACATAGTTCCTGGTAGCCACATAAGCCCACCCCCGAGCCTTGGGCTCTGCTGCCCAGTCTGTGTCCATCCCAGCCTCCCAAGGCCTCACTGTGTTCTGGGCCAGCAGCTCCAGCCCACCATACCACGCTGACCCCTGACTTCCGGCCACACACACCGAAATCTGGCATATTTAAAGAGGCAGAACCCTAAAACCCAGCATTCGTAGGAAAACCCCATCTTGAAAAAGCATTCATTTCCCCATGTCCAGGATCATTTTGTATGACAATTACATGTGGGGTAATATCAATTTAACACCTCACTGCAAGTGAAAATTGTAGCCCGCAGCCCGAAAATTACTATAATAATGGAAATAAACCCACCAAGTGAGGCTGGGGCCACCAGGGGCGATCCTGGGTAAATGCTGCCTCCTGTTTCTCGCTGTTCCAGGGGTATTAAACGAGGAAGTAAATAACAGATGTTTGGTGAGTCAAACATTTCCTCTCCTCATTTTCTAATTTCTTCCTAGGCTTGGGCCTTTCTTGGGGCTTTTAACTTGGGGTCCAGAGACCCAAGGATGGACTTCAAGGGGGCTGTGAGCCCTCTGACATTGTTTGCAAACTTGTATACACAAATGTGTTTTTATTCTCTTCCCTGGGAAGATGGTTCATAGCTTTCGGTAGATTCTCAAAGAAGTCTGTGGCCTGAAACACTTAAGAACCTCAATCCTAGGCCAATGGGCATGACGTCCCTTTGGCCTCCCTAATAATTCTGAACACTTTTTCCTACAAGAGCAAACCCTGAATAAGAGGACTTAGACAGACAAGGCAGGGCTGTTGTGCTCAGGACCTGAGCACAGACTGGGATGGGTCAGCCACAAGGAGCCAAGAATTGGGAAAGGAAGGCCCCAGGGGAAGAGACAGTGGAAAGGCTGGTCATGACCCTCAGGCCTGCCTGTGCTCCCCCTACAGAGACAACTTCTCACCACATCACGTCAGCTCCACCTACTAATAAATCCCCACCCCCTGAACCCACCTCTCCTTTCTAGTCCCCATGGGCCCAGCTCAGAGAGTCTTTACTCCTCTGGGGGATTCCTGCAGCAGTCGCCTGACCAGTCATCTTGCCTCCACCCTCTGCCCCTGCCAGTCATGTCCAGTCTACCACAAATCTCTGCCCAGGTCTTCCTCTGGCTTGAAGCCTTCAGTGGCTCCTGATATAGAAAGTCCAAAACTCCCTATCACAGCCTTCAAGACCTTCCACAATTGCAACTTCATATGCTGCCATAACTTTCTGTCACTGCTCTCACTATTACCTCTGCATGGAGCAGTGTCCTTTCTCTTTTCTCCACCTGATGAACTCCTACTCATCCTTCAAGACCCAGAGCAAATATCTCTTGTCTGCAAAGGCGTTCCATACTCCCCCAGATAGGCAATGACCTGTGCTTTGTGCTCCCATAAGTTTGTACATATCTCTCTCCTGGCACTTCTCAAGATGGACTATCACCCCCACTTGGCTATGAGTTCCTCTAGGGAAGGACCCTTGTCTATCTCCATGTCCCTAGAACAAGAGATAAGTATATCAGATGCCCGTTCATGGAGAAAGAGAGAAAGAAATTCAGGAAATGCATTCCTAGGTCAGCTGATGACTTAGTCTTTTATGCTTTTAAAAGGGGAGGTATACAGTTCTGTCCCTCACTGAATCAGGGCTAGCTTATAGGACTAATAGAATATGACGGAAGTGACAGTGTGTGATTTCTAAGGCTAAATCATAAAAGCACCGAAGACTCTGCCTTGGCCACTTGGAGGGAAACCAGCTGCCATGCTGTGAGGACACTCAAGCAGCCCTGTGGAGTGATGCTGACGTGTGTTGGAACTGAGGTCTCCTGCCCACAGCCGGCACCAACTTGCCAGACACAGGAATGAGCTCCCCTGGAAGTGAGTCCACCAGCTCTGGTCAAGCCTTCAGATGACGGCAGCTCTAGCAGCTCCAAGCCTGAACCGCCCAGCCAAGATGCTCTGAATTCCTACCTCAGAGACCATAAGGACAATCAATGATTCCTGTCGTTTTAAGCCGCTAAAGTTTGGGGGTGATTTGTTGTGCATTAAATAACCATTATAAAAGAGGAGGAAAATGCCTTGAAATGGCCCCTAGTGAGAAGAGGCCTTGGACTTGCCTACCTTTGGATTCAGAACTGAGTCTAAGCTGGGAGCAGTGGGGAGGGAGGAGGGCAGGGGGCTGGCAGAGGTGGACTTGGGGTGGGGGCTCCCTCGATTGGTGTGCTGCAGGGTCCATGGCGGGCAAGGAGGGGCTGGGAGGGACCCAGGCAGAGGGGTAGGCGGCAGTGAGCATTGTCAGCACCAACAGGAATGAGGGGGATGGCAGGGCGTGGAAGGATAACCATCTGTCTCCTTATAGGAAGGTGATAAAGCAGAGAGCTTAGCAGAACCTCCCTGTCTCCATCAGAGACGGGGAGAGAAGACAGACGAGCATTATGACTGAGAAGGCCGTGCTGCCAGGGCTGCGCTGAGGGTCAGCCCTGGGCACTGCGCTGGAGACGGCGTCCCATTCCACACCCTGGGCGGCGATGGGATCCCAAATCCCAGCTTTTATGAGGTAAGTTATTCGGGGGCAAGTTGGTGCAGGAGGTACTGGGAGTTACCCGCTTAGAGAACTCTTGGGGACAGGGCTCCTTTTCCTGCCTCGGAGGCATCCAGCTGGTAGGCAGGTGTATGGCTGCACAGTGACGCAGCAGCATGCATGTGGCGCTGGGAGAGCAGAGGGAAGCGGACCCCCGCCCGGGGGGCGGGGCAGGGGCGGGGTGTGTGTGAAGGTTTCATGGAGGAGGAGGTGCTGGATCTCACAGGGTGATACAGGGATAGATGGACACAAACGGGGTACAGCATCCCCATCACAGCATGGTTCTGGACTCGCAGGCCAGATGCCCAGTGAGGCAGTTGGCAGAATACTGGCCCAGGGGTCTGGATACCACTGACCAGCTGCGAGACGGTAGGTAAACCACCCACCTCTGCAGGCTGCTGTCTGCTCATCTGTAAAACAGAGCTTGGGCCCAAGGCTCTCCTGCTAAAGGTTCCCAGAGCTCAGTAATCAGAAGCTTTGATTGTAGCTGACGTGCAATAAGCGTGGTTGATTTGAACGAAAGGCCGTGACGGCCATTCTGCAGCCGAGGCTCAACTGTGTGGCTGGACAACCAAATTCACTTTTCTAAGACTCAGTATCTTCATCTGGAAAGTGGAGACAACAACTTTTAACTTGTAGATTTTCCCCCCTAAATTATTAATATGTTAGGTAATAATAGATGCTTGACAAATAGTGACTATCATTATTATTATTATTTTTCTTTTTGCGGTACGCGGGCCTCTCACCGTTGTGGCCTCTCCCGCTGCGGAGCACAGGCTCCGGACACGCAGGCTCAGCGGCCATGGCTCACGGGCCCAGCCGCTCCGCGGCATGTGGGATCCTCCCGGACCGGGGCACGAACCGGCGTCCCTTGCATCGGCAGGCGGACTCTCAACCACTGCGCCACCAGGGAAGCCCTATCATTATTTTTAACATCACGTTTAAATCTGCAGACTCCTCCTCCCGCTGGGTGGAGCCAGATCTTGCACCACAGGCTGGAAAGGCGTCCTTAGTGAGTGGTTCTGCCCTGTCTGACAGCGGGTAAGGGGCACTGGGAGGCAAGAGGCGGTAAAGAGAGCAAAGAGAGCATCAGTGTTAGAGAAAGGAACCTGGGCTGTGACGTCGATGTGAATCCTGGATCTGCTGAAAACTGGCTGTGTGACCTTGGGCACGTCCTTTACCTTCTCTGAGCCTCAGTGTTGTCACCTGTAAACTGAGGACGAATACCTCCCTTTCAGGCTTGTTTGTGGAGATTGCAGAGAATACAGGCAAAACATGTGGTGTTTCATAGCTGCTGAGTAAATGGTGGTGAGAATTATTAGTGTAATAATAATATTGCCTCCAGGCAACGTTCAATGCTTTTGGACAAGAACTACAAACTCAGAGTTCAGCCAAGGAAGGAAGGGGCTTGGAGATGACCTAGTCCAACCTCCTAAAGTGGGCAGAACTTGGCCCAACAGGCGTCCATTGGCGCCTGGGCTGCTTTGCTCCTGGGGCTCAGCCCCCTCCAGCCTCCTGCTCCTGCAGGATAAAGGACAGGGCCTCTTCCTCGAGGCTGGGCAGAAATCCCATAAGAGCCTCCTGTGTGCACAGGCCCAAGGGAGGGCAGGCCGGCAGGAGGCGGTGCATCACAGCTCTGAGGCACGGGCATCCCGGCTCCCGGCTCCCGGCACTCAGCACTGTCTTCCTCCTGCCCCTGCTCTCAGCTCATGGTGCCTGGACTCATCCTCCGTCTCCTCGGACCCTCACAGCAACCTCTGAGAACCTCTACTCCACGGATGAGAACAACTGCAGCTCAAGATCTCACTCAAGCTCACACACCTGGTGAGTGGCCGAGATGAGCTGCGTCCAGGTTCCATGACCTCTAATGTGGTAGTTGTCCCTAGCATCCACTGTGAACTCAACCTGGTTAAGGCACAGGAGCCCAAGGGGACAGGGCCCACCTGCCCGAGCCCTGCGCATGAGCCACCATGCCCTTCAAGGCCCAGGGGTGCTGCAGTCCCGCTTGGACGTGAGCCCTGGGCACTGGCAGCAACAAGGCCAAGGGGCCAGGAAATATCCTTAAAACAGGCCACTGTGGGGATTCAGA